TCTGACAGAAAATACGTGAACGTTGAGACCGAAATCTAGAAGAATCATTCGGTAGACTCGGAATAAAGATATTACCCTTGCAGTGTCGCAGCATCTTGTTTATGACCAGATCCAAAAAACACCACAAAAGCCAGTTAAAGTACCCGCACTGAGAATCTCATGAAGCCTTGATGTATTAACTCTTAATTGTACAAGATAAAGGAAATCCTAATAGCAAACTCCCATTAATAAGATTATTAGATAATAGAAATCTAGTGCCAATTCATGTCTAGTTTGAATGAGCAGACTGGGTTGTTGGGGGCCTACTTCGGGTAAAACGATACGATTATTCAGTAATGTGAAGGATACCGTAGGGCAAATATAGGACAAACGAAATCCTTAAGCCATTTGTCTCTAGAAAATTCATCGAACAGGGGAAGGTCAGTTGTCGTGAATAGCTCTGGAGGTTCAATTAGGGTGTGTCGAGATAGCAATGATACTTTCGATGCATAAATGGAATGTTTATTTTGTAGACCAAATAACTCTATACGTACTAAAAGTAAATGTAGCGCGAATAATACCCATAGCAAGAGTGATGTTCAAAATTATGTTAACCAATGAATTCTTATAAATAATGTTGTGTATCAATATCTAAGTGTCGGGATAACAAGAAACATGTATAGCCCAGCTGGGGTTAGTATCGAGGAAAATTTTTTCAGGAGCGTTACAAATTTGGCTCTTACCAGTGATCATAGGACAATGATCCGCAAATATGCGTTAGCTACAATTAAAAATAAGCCTTAAGGGCAAGACTTGTAAGATCAAATATAAAAACATAAAATAAAAAATTTATCTATAGGTTACACATTTGGAAGACAGAAAAAGAGAGGATCCATTGATAAGACCTACCAAAGAAGTGCTTTTTAAAAAAAATGACATTTAGACCATTCGAAGTCAGGGATTATATAAGGCATTGCTCATCGTCAAGTTTATTTAAAATAGAACTGAGACACGCTCGATTGAATCTAAGCGAGGTCAAAATGCAGTACAGAGCAGGTTAGAAAGCACCGTCGGTATGAAAGGTATTGAAAAAAAACAAGCCTTCTAATAAACTCATTTTGAGCTCAGAAAAATCTAACGACAAAAATCGAGCCTTCGAATCAAGGCTATTGGTAAAAGTCGAATCAGGAAGTGATATGTTCCAAAATTCCCTGCATTATAAGCGGTTCAGCATCACTTCGTATCATAGAATGTTGGCTTCCTTTGCTCAAATCAATGACAGTTCCGTCTTCAGTTTCGAATTCACCATAATCTATAAGGCAACGAACTTCAACAAGAAGGGCTTTAGGTGGATACTGTGCTTGTGTAAGATCAAGACAGCCAGCACCTCCTCGTTCAGATGAGTCGGCCTGCATAAATGCGGCCAGGAACTGCGAGTAGTTTTTGAACCAATCTAACTCCGCTTCAGTAAGATTTTGTCGTATATCTTGAGTAAATTTAAAACAAAAAAGCCAATATAAAGCATATTAGTTCCTTGAGTAAAGCTAGATATAATCTTCATTACTTAAAGATAATAATGTAATATAGGATATAAAATATATAGCAAGAGCAGAGAGATATGCGAATTGCTACCAGAGGCAGGAGTCAGGAGGTGCGGGCTCAAAATAGAGATAACTTAGAAAATAAACCAGTTATGGATGTAGACAAGGTAAATCAAAAATTAAAATGAGGGAAACTTCGGCCTTCGTTCAAATAAACAACTAATAGATGATCGCTATTGAGATAAATTTAAGAATGCTTCCAGATATGTATGATGAACTCAAAAAAATCCTGTGCCTAGCACACATTATGTAGAGGCATGAAAAAATACGCATAGCCATCATAAAATTCTACATAATTGACATGTAAACAGGAGTTTAAAGCCTATTTAAATTATACTTACGATGGGTAAGACGATTAACCCTCTAGAAGTGTCATTATACTTTTCTAGAGGTTTC